CGACCGAGCCATTCCAAGCACCTACCGACCGGGCCACTCCAAGCACCTACACCCCGAGCTACACACCGAGTTACTCCAAGCAACTGCCCACCGAGCCACTCCAAGCACCTACTGACCGAGCCACTCCAGGCACCTACCGATCGAGCCACTTCAGACACCTTCCGACCAAGCAATTCCAATCGCATTCTTCTTTTCTTACTTCTCTGTCTCTCTCTATCTCTCTCCCTCCTCTCTCCCTCTCTCTCCATCTCTCTCCCTTTCTTTGTCTCTCTATGCGTGTTCTGTTTCTTGAATTCGTGAATAGTGTTGAAATTTAGCAGTTGGTTTGTGCCCGACTTTTTTTTTTTTTTTTTTTTCTTTGCGGACATTGCCCGCACCGCCCGCACCGCGGGCGCTTAGCTAGTTCTTTATTACCGTTTGATTTTTTTTTATATTTTTAAAAAAGTCTATCTGAGTTTATGCCAGCGGTCAGTGTGAGGTCACCCACTACATTTGTTATTTCTGTGGGCTTAGCCCGCACCGCCCGCACCGCCCGCATGGTGGGGGCTTAGCTAGTATGCATAATAGACAATATAGACCTGACGGGGACAGCCTGTCACAGGGAAATCAGAGTTTATACACTTACACTTTTACACATTTCCACTGACAGACAGCATGCCTGTACAAGGCAAGTAATATACACAATGGACATTAGAATCAGTTCACTGCACACAGATTCACACTTACACAGCATGCCGGCTCAAGGCTGTAAGATACATGGATAGAACTCAGGGCTTACCATAGCCCAGTCTGTACAAAGCGGATCAAACATACACATAACCATGTCCAGTTCTCATCATATTTATAAGGACGCTGGACCCGTTTTCCAGCAGGTGATGCTCCCCACCAAGAGATGGACCCCCCCCAGAAGTGCTAGCGGTGCCCACTCCTACCAGCGCCCCAAGCATTAAGTCATTTCTCAAAAAAACAAACAAACAAAAAAACAAACAAACAAAAAAACAAACAAACAAAAACAATAATAAAAAGAAGGGGGGAAAAAAAGGAAAGTCCCTGAGGCTGTGATAGCCATGAGATACATGCTACGAGGTGGTAGTGAACAAAAAAATAAAAATCATCCCTTATGCTCTGATCCTGGTCCAGGATGCTACAGTACTAGTGTGAGTATGAGGTGAGTGAGGCAATTTGTTGTCCCCCTGCCTCGCTGGCAGGGCACCAAAAGAAAACTAACTGAAGAAAAAAAGAAACGAAAACAGAAGAAAAGAAGAAACAAAAACAAGAGCAATCGCCTTCCACACATACTGGCCAGATACATACCTCAAAGCACACACAAGTAACCAACTGTTCATGAGGCCCACCCAAGTAACTGTTCATAAGCGTATGAAGAGATCATGACGGAGCTCCAATAAGGGTTGGGAACCACTTGCAGCCCCAAGGGGATTTGAAACTCCATAATATGTAGAATGAGAATCAGGCCCCCACCTATCTAATCTTGTTAGGTGGGCAACCCTCTTAGGTTCCTGAGTAGTGGGGCTCCACCTCCCAAATTTCTTACTTTTAGAGTGGTTCATGCGCCTGGCAGTACCTACAATAGGATGTCTATTCAAATAAGCAACTATGATGTTCAGAGACGCTGGACCCGCTTTTCCAGCAGGTGCTGCTCCCCACCAATAGATGGAGCCTCCCCGACAGTGATAGTGGTGTCTGCTGCTCCTATCAGCACCCCTACCACTGGCTCGGGATGTTCAAAAAAAAAAAAA